TAATATGTTCATACGTTATGCCATCATCACCGGGAGCTTTATTATTTGGTAATTCTGTTAGCACATCCTCGATCTCTTTTAAAGTTATGGGATCCTGAAAGATATCATCAAATTCAGCTAAGGAGTTTTTTGTTATGTCACTAACCTCGATATCGATATACTCCCTGAAGTCATCATCAAAATTTATATTTTCCTCAGGAATTAAAAGTTTTTCATAGTAATTAGCCCACACATCTGCTATTTCTTCTGGGTTTGAGATAGTTCTTCCATCATTCGTTGTGAGCACATTAGTTGATCTTTTCTTCTTTCTACGTCGGTTTACATATTTCCAAAACCTGATGTGATCGATCTCGGAAGCCTCACTAAGCTCTTTGAAATCATTCTCCTCTGTTTTTCGTACCATTTTACGTTGTTCCTTCCTGAACAGACGCTTTGCATCTTTGTATAACCGAAAACTTTCATACTGTTCTCCTCTTGGACGTCCTTCTGAGGTCCATTTCTTATGAAGCTCCATGCAAGCTGTCTTTAATCGCTTGAGTTCATTATTCCAGTAGGGCTTGATGGACTTCTTATACTTCGCACGAGGTAGACATTTGTCGCTGCTTTTTATGCTGCGACAGATCAAACGATAATAGTTCTCAACGTCATCACTGGTATATAAGGTATCATCCATTGTTGTGATTGTATCATTTAATCTTCTTGGATATTCTAGTACTTGTTCCAAAGCACATTTTCTCCACGCAATTCGTTCATACTCGTTTTCTAAATTATTAGATGATTCATGGCAGTTTATACCAGCAGAAATTTCAATGCCAGCAATCAACGGCAGATGATAAGATAAATTGCACGGATGTTCGTCGCCAACTTTAACACACTTTACAATTCTTTCGATGTTTTTACTCGCAAAAATGTAATCAACAACACTGTTACCACAACTTGAGTAATACGTGAATAACGGACCCATACAGGGCATATCCACGTTAACTGGAAACATGTCAAATTCAGCAAACATTTCAAGGAGTAGTTTTCCTCTATTATTTTCACGTTGACCTGAACGTGGATCCGATACATGTACGTTAAAATCGCCTGCAATAATGATTTGCTCTTCTCTGTAACTTAATTGAGTGCACACTGCATTAAGGCAAGTTAGAGTGTCGATAAAATCAGCCAAGTTACTGTTCGTTGATGGAAAATAGATACTACAGAAAACATAATTCTGATTATTCATTCGAAATTTAATTGCTACGATCCTATCATTTCCGAGTAATAATCGTTGTGCCTTGAGATGTTTTTTTCCAAACAATCGCGACGCCCCCCTGACCTCGCTTCCATCTTGTGTTCATATTATTTTGTTCGCTTGTCTTTGCATAATACAAAAAATCGTTATGTAAATTGTCTAATATAGTAAGCTCATCGGCGTATAACCAATGTTCTGATATGGCTAAAACATCAACACTTTCAAGTAGCTTTTGCATATAAACGAAGTTCGATTTGATTCCTCCGCAGTTCCAGCATGCAATGTTTATGAAGGCGGTTCTCTGGATGGATCTCTGTCAGATTTCACTGACCGTTTTTCCCATTTATCTTTGGAGAGCCATTCCCTTGCGTATACATTTTTCGGCCAAAAATTTGGTTCAAGAATCTCCTTAATATCTGAAGCTCTGACATTTATACGCACAGCAACGGTGCCGCTTCGCCGACTTTTCATCATTCGTACGAAAGTCGGCTGAACGCCTTTTCCCTGCATAAATTCTTTTATAGTGCTCGCGTGAACCCCGTCTTTAACACCACCTAGATACAATCGTTTTGTGTTGCGCCGTTCCACGCCAATAAACTCCTTTGAGTCAACTAAACTCGCTTCATTTTGATTTTCACTTGTTTTTGAACTTCTAATTACTTGACTTTGTTTTGGACAATCGGTATTATTCGACGGCGGTTCCGGGTCATTTGCGCTCTCGCCTTTGTTACTATCATCATCATTAACTAGAACTGTATTAATTTGTCCTTCGCTTTGTTCACAATCAATAACACTCACAATAGTAACTTGCTCATTGTCCTCATTACTGCCACTCGCTACAGCAGCGAAGGATCGTGGCTGAGTACCATTGTTAACAGCTCCCTTGGGTCCTGGGTGTGCAAGTTCAGTATTGCCAAACTCTACAGAATTATTCAAATTTTTTTTCGTTAATATTTTAATACTTTCCTTTGACTTTCTCTGTTCTGCCATTTTAGAAATATTTTCCATCTCGACGCAGATGCTTTCGCATTTCGAATTTAGAGATTCTTTTGAAGCACGGCAATTAGCTCGTAACGTCGACACCTCCTTTTCTAGCGAGTATATTTTTGAGTCTTTTTCGGCTAAATGTAATTGCATATGATTAAGTTCGTCTTTCAATTTGTCAATATCTGTTTTATGTTGAATATTTGTTTCAACAAATTTTGCTTCTAAATCTTCGACAATTTCGAGTAGTTTCTTGAGATTAGGTTGATCAAAAGCGTTCGTTTCCTTATCTCCGAGAGCGTAACTACAATCCGTATTCCTGACCTTGCGAAATATGTCCTTTAGCGCTTGACTTCCTTCGCCGCTCTCGTAAAATTTCACAAGCAATACAATATCTTGTGCGAGCTTCTCTGACGCCGACGTTCCCCTAGTTCTTGTAATTCTCCTCTGAAGTTCGCCTTTTGGACAGCAACTCCACTTAGAACGGACCAGTTGCAATACTCTATCCCTTAAACCAGCTAAACCATCGGTATCTCGTGCGATTAGCTGTCGTACGACAATCTCGCTCGATGTACTTTGCAGACGCCTTCCCAAATCATCAATAAATCCGGTCAAATTTTCGTCAGAATCACAATTATTATTACAGTCTGTTTGTATTTGAGAGTTTGTATCAACAATTGTTGATAAAGCCTCGGCTAAATTAGCCGATTGAGAGTTTCTTCGCATGGCAGGTGAAGAGCCTTGAATAATAGCTCCTTCCGTCATGACGCCATGTTGCGTTTGTCATGTATATAATAAACAGTGTAAGCCGGAGATTACGGTTTCGAATCCTGTTGTTCAATATAATAACACAGACTTCCTTTCTAAGCGAGAAGCCGAAAAAAACGCCAAACGGGAAAGAAAAGTAAAGCCGGGAAGAAACCCGGGAAGAGTGTGAGTTAGATTTCTGTCGGATGCTAATTCGACGAAATGACAGGAAAACATATTTCGCACTGGGCAACTTCTCAAATAGTTCAAGCACAATTTTTTAGTTTGCCGGTTTCTATAATGCATCGTAAATCAGGTGAATCCTTCAGAGTTATCAAGGATAATAAGCGGAAGGACTATAATTCCCTTTTTCAGCGCAAACCCTCGTGGCAAAACGGTTAAGGCGTCGGCTTTCTAAGCCGAAGATTGCGTGTTCGAATCTCGCCGGAAGTAAATTCCATTGTATGTAATGTCACGAATATAGATTTGAGAACTGCCCAACATTTTGAACTGGGTGCTAAGGATTCAAAATATATAATGACACTTTCTTTCTAAGCCGAGTACGCGGAAAAAGGAAAGAAAACTAAAGCCAAACCAAGGAAGACCAAAAAAGCCGCAGGAGTGGCAGTTCGATGCCTGTTGGAGGCTAATTCCACGAAATGACAATGATAGGAAAATATATTTGACAAATTGAGTTGCAGAACAATTAAAACTCAATCCTTTTTTTACATTTAAATACTCTTAATATGTTGTTCCTGACCATGACATTAATTTGAGACAGAACACTGATCGATTTTATCTATTTAATAATATTACTGATTGCAGAACAATTAAAGCTCAATCGGGTTTTTTTACATTTAAATACTCTTAATATGTTAAGAGTTTTTTTTTAATACATATGAAAATTGTAAGTAATTATGCATGCACTATTTACTATTTTGATAAATGCCTAATGATTTTAACTCTTGTAAATAGCGTAGATTCTAAAGCATATCCATGTACTATTTTATAACATATTCTTATCTATTGTAAAGTACTCGTTAATTCAGTTGTTTCTGTAACTGCAAGAGAGTCCTAATAAACTATTATTATTATTATTATAAATGTGCAACCTTTAAATTAAATAGTGTAGCATAACCATTTTACTGATGGCTTCTAATTATAATGCGCCGTTAGGGCTCGTTATAGAAAGAATTATAAACAGGGGCGTAGGAGGCTTCTAAAAGTTGGGGGGGGCAGGCTTTGAGGGGCACTTTCCGAATAAAAAAGGACATCTAAAAATTATTTCCCGGAAAAACTTGGCGACGGGGGCGGGGGGGGGGCGAAGAGGTCTCAGAAATTTTTTCAGGAGATACCGAAAAATATTTTCCGGATATACCACATTTTTTCCTAAATATGAAAAAAAATTTCCCGATATACCAAAAAATTTTCCGGATACATCATATTTTCCCGGAAATGAAAAAAATTTTCCAGAAAATAACATAAATTCAAGTTTTCAAAAGTTTCCTTTGGGCAAAAAAAGGCAATCTTTACATTTTTAACGCAAGAGAAGGGCACTTTGCTCCCGGAAAAAGGGCACTTGGCAAAACGTGGGGGGGGGGGGGG